TGTTTTGTGTCGTTCATCCCAAATCCTGCTCGGGCTGGGCATTAGTGCCGGCTGCCTCATGGGGGTAGATGTGCTGTTGAATGTGCTGCTCTGAAATGTCCTCTCGGCCTCCTCCTGCCAGTGCCCATGGGGATGTCAGGACTCGAGGTGGCTCAGGAATGCAGAGATGTTCCCCTTCTCCTGCTGTACATTCACAAACCTTCCCAAACCATCTTGGCACTGTGCAGGGTTTTGGGTGCACACTAGAAAAACACCCCTCCAGCCTACACCAAGAAAGCCATGATCCTGCCTGGCTCATAAATACCATAATTTTAAACCCTTACACCCTACCTATTGAAAGTTGCACTTGCTATCCAGGTAAAGATCCCCTGGGAAAAGGGAACGTGCTGAAAAAAACCCCAAGTGGCTCGAGCCAGATGCTGGGCGTTTTCTCCAAAGCTAGCGATTCGTGGTTTGCTGCTGACAACATGAACTGGTGTTAAGTTATTAAATTGCAGATGAGCTCATCACTTGGCCTCCAACAAGTTTCAGCTTTGAGTGGCTTTAAAATATTACATGTGGTGGAAAAGAGACAATGCTGGTGTGGCAGAGAGATTTAGGGAGCAGCTGAGAAAGACATCTGTGCATAAAAAATGTGTACCAGGAGGGAATACTTCGTGTGAAAAATGTAAGCTCTCCCAGGAGAGAGGAGGAGAATTCTCTGATTTATTGGTTCTACATTTTAATTTTAGCTTAAGAGAAAATTGTCAGACTTTTGAGATGCTTAAAGGGAGGTGGCAAGATGCTAAAGATGCTAAGCCTGGTTGATCCTCAAAGATCCCAGTGTGTCAAGAGCTGTGTGTGCGGGTTTACTTCTACCAAGCCCCAAACCCAGTTCCTTCGGTAGTGTGTGGTGTTTGCCAATGATACCATATAACTGTGGGCCAAATCCAGCTTTTACTTGATGATTTCTTAACCCTAATGTTGAGCTCTACCAGACTGGGAAGGTAGCATCCACATTGCTGTTAGGAGAGGTGTTTCTCTTCCTGAAAGAGTGGGAGTTTGCTTTGAGGATCTCCCTGCCCTACATTATCTGCACAATTTATATTTCTTCCTTTTTTTTTGCTCTTGCAAAGGAGCCCAAGCTCCTGAACACACCTGGTTCTGCAGAGTTGCCCATGGATCCATGCAGTGCTGCAATACATTAGCAGGAAGACAGTCTTGAACAAAGGAATTAGTTTTTCCAGCCTAATTAAATCCAGCCGTGCTGGAGCAGCCTTGGTGGGCTGGCCTGGCTGTCACAATGCTGCTCCTAGGGAGCACAGCGCACGCCCTCATCTTAGCTCTAGATCTTGACGCTGAGATTAATTAATTTTTTTTAAGTGCCAACTTGGCAGAAGCCGTGGGATAGATCATAAATCGGTCCAGCCTTTTTTATTTTTCAAACTAGTCATGTTTGCAATCAGTGGGCACATTGGCTGGTTGGGTTTTGTGGCTGATTGGATTTGTTGTTTTGGGGCTTTTCTGGTGCTCCCGGCAAGGAGGAACAGCCCCACACATGTGGTTTTTAACTGCCTCAGCTCTTTTTTACAAAATGGCATGTTTGCAGTCAAAGCATCAGCAAAGTCAGTGTTAACTCAGTCAGTGCTGCGGTGATGCCCCTAAAAATAGCAAGGAAACCAGTACGCTGAATACTTGCCACCTCGTTTGTGGCATGAGCTGTAATTGCACTCTCTGACTGCTACAGCCAGTGTCTTCAGATAGAATAGTTTGGGTTGGTTTTTTTTTTTTAAGTGAAGATGATAATTTTCAGCCTGTCTGAAGTCACAGAGCATCAGCACGTGCAAACAATGTGCCTTCCCTCATGGTTCATTGGGGCCAGAGCATCTCTGAGCTCAGGACAGACTCCAATTTATTGCAGGGTGCCAATTGGATTTGCTGTATTAAAACACTGGGGGCACAAAAAAGGCAACTTTTTCATGTAAATTATTAACAAATTGCGTGTGTGGCTGTCAATAGTGAGCTGCAGACTGTGACCCTGGAGCAGCCGAGCTCAGGGGCATCAGCCGGAGGATGGTTGTCTCAGGGTTTTTAACACACACCTAAACTGATCGAATTGCAAAGCGTTGCCAGGATTCAGGGGACAATCCCCACCCTCAGCCACAGGTTTCTGTCCCGGTCTGTGCCCTGGGTCTGACAGGGATCGTGAATTTCTGATAGTTGAAGCTCCTGAATTGTATTTCTATTTTTCTGTCTTTATCCATGTGTACATGTACAAAGAGAGGTTACTTGGGTCTGTGATTATCTTATTTTTTCCTTTTTTTTTTCTTTTTTTTTTTTTAATTTTTAGACCATGTAAAGCTGCTTTCTTACTGCCCTGTTGTTTCTGTGATTTCCTACCGCAGCAGCTACATCCAACCCTACTGCACTTCTACTTGTTCCAGCAAAAACTGCATTTCTACTGCGAGGGCTGGGGGCTGCGGTGCTTTGGCTGTAGCACAGGTTTGAGATGGACTCGTTGCTCACATCTGCAGGGCTTAACATCTCACTGAGCTGTCTGCTCAGCTCTGCAAGGGAGAAAATGCCTCTGTGCGATGCCTTCCTTTTAAATGCCTCACTTCTAAATGTAAGAACTTGTGCTTGTGGGCGATAAGTGCAATTTGTGTTCGTGAGATGCTCTAATGTCCTCACATGACAAGTTCTGCGGAAGTGCAAAATGTTCAATAAAACCCAAGTTATTAGTTGAAACTATAAATAAAAAGAGAGTCAGGAAGGACTGCTTTTTGCAAGGTGATGGTGAATAAGATTGTCCCAGCCCTGTGCTGTGTGTCTGACACTTTTTGGGGGGGGTTGTTGATTTTTTTTTTTTTGTTTTTTTAATTGAGTCACTTGGCCAGACTGAGACTCCCATGTGGCCAAATAGCACCTTCCTATTACTGGCACCTTATAAATAACTTTTATGTTTCACTTTCTCCAGCTCCACATGACAGAACCCCCTGCCGTCAGGGTCGCCTCCTATATTTCATTCCTGTAGCTGGTTGGTTTTCCCTAAGAAGAGGACCAGAGCACCAAACGTTTTTCCCTTTATGCATGTTTCTTGCATTGCTCATTCCTTCTTCACCTGAAACTTCCATCTCATTTTTGTGGCTCGCTTTTTTCAGCCTCAAATTCTTTGTAGAACTTGGCCAGTTTGGTTTGATGGCACCACGATTAATCCCTGGGAGCACTGCCATTGCTGGGCAGCAGGCCTTTTCACCCCCCGAGATCTGTGTTTTCATTAAATTAGTTAAATTCTTCATGCCAGATGCACCAGCTATGTGGGAGGAGGACTTGGCATTTGACACAGTTGTGGACAAGTCTCTGTCTCCAGCATGGCTGTTCTTGGGGGTCAGAAGTAATTTTCCTCAGTGCTAGTGGATATACAGATACGAGGAATTCATCATTGCCTGTTTTTTAGTGGATAGTTGAAATTATTCCTCATTTCTGCTGTGTTTTGGTTCAAGAAGCAGGAGTAGGCACTAAGAGCTGGACCAGCCCACCAGCTTACAAACTCAGCTCCCGTTGCCAGTGAGGGCTTGAAGGACCAGAGCTTGTGGCTCCCTACACAAGTGTTTGCACTGATGCAGTCCTGGTGGTCAGTTCTTCCTTACCAAGTTGCATCTCCACTATTCAGTGTTGGCTGTCAAACAACCGCTTCCACGTTGTTTTGGCAATATAAGGGCTCTATCTTGCCAAAATGTATGGCAAGGTGGCAGGCAGGTCTCAGTGTGGATATGTCACTGCCCACCAGGTCTTGTAGAGGTCATCTGGAAAGTAAATGCCTTGGGGTAGGTGTGGTGGTGTCTCTGCTATGGGAAGGTGGATGCATTACCCAAAGCAGAGATGAGTTTCCTGAAATGCAGTAGGACCCATGGGTCTTGACTTTGCTAAACCCGGTCCGCACTGAGTAGAGGAGGCTGCTTCTGAGCTTCACCCTTTAAAAGCGAAAGCAGGCCTTGGAAGAGAAGCCATCTTATTACTGTCAAAAATAAAAGAGAACTAGCTTGATCAAGCTCACCCAGTAAGGCAGGTCTGGAAAATGAGCCCAGCTCTCCTGGAGCTCTGGTGTTTGACAAGACCTGTGAGGCCCATCTCCCTGATGGACCCACTCTGGCACAGGTTTATCCTATGGGGTGGCTGGTGGACCTCACTGCAACATGTGTTCATTTGAGAGGAGTACTGTCCTGTCCCCTGATTGGCTGCTGCTGCTGAGGAACAAAACATAGTGGAGATAAAATATTTGAAGTAAAAGAAGTACACTATATATAACCCTTCCCCTCCTTGTCCCTGTGCACTAACATATTTAATATAATGATGAGTTCTCTGCCAAAATTCCTCAAGTTATTATGTCTAAGGATTGAAAATCTTAGAAAATAGTCTTGGAGGGGACCTCAGGAGGTCTGATTCATCCCTAGGGTAGGATCAGGTCGATCTGAACTGTTCCTGACACATCCTTGTCCATTCTCCAACAGCAGAGCCTCCACCCCTTCCCCAGGCAATCTAGTCCAGCACTTCACTCTTCCCACCCCCCCACCCCCCCATTTATCCTCCTGGTTCCCTTGCTGCAATTTTAGGTTCATTCCTTCCTCCCTATGCACAACAGACCCAGAGCACATCTATGCTATATTTGTTCTCCAGTTCCAGTTTCATGCTGATCAAGCTGTCATGTTCACTGGAGTAATTTTTGATTTTACCTTGTTGCGAGCATACTGTTCACTCAGTGGATTTATGGCTTGTGAGAGGGATGAGGGTGTTCATCCTGCAGCCCTAACGCTTCTTTGCAGAGCAGATAAAGCACAGGAGTGCAGCTTTCTCCAGGGTGTCATGCTCATGTGTCCCTTCCTTGTGTTGGGTGGTGATGGGGGATCACTTTCTTCTTGGCTTCTTCATGGGGACCACCAATGTGGGCTAATTTTCAGATCCACGCTAGCGCTGGCTTTTGTAGCACATCTCATATTGCTCCTTTACCCTGTTTTCTGCAGGATTTGGGAATGGAGTCAACCTCTCTGGATGATGTCCTCTATCGATATGCCAGCTTTCGAAACCTGGTGGATCCAATCACTCATGACTTGATCATCAGCCTTGCTAGATACATCCACTGCCCCAAACCGGTAGGTACCGTGGTCTCATCACAGCTCCATAACTGTGCTGACTTGGGAAACCATTCTGCTGGGAGCATGGAGCTTACCTCTGAGTTCCAGGGAAAAAGCCTGCTGGTTACTGCTGTGCTTGTGTGTCTTTAGACAGAGAGGACCTGCTCAGAAATTGTGGTTTGATTGCACACTATCGGACTTTCTGGCCGACCAAGTGATGTTCACCTAATGTTAGTATTTTGGCTGTTAGCTCTTTGTTTTGCAAAGGATTTCTGCGTTCTGCCACTTTCTCTTTCTGTGTTAAAGACCTCACCCCATCAGGAACACTTTCTGCCTCACAAGGATAACAGACCGTTCCTCACCCTTGTGTGATATTTTTCATGAACCCAAATGACAAGAGAGTCCTTGGCTGTGCCTCCAAGGCCACGTTCCCAAAAAAGCGCAGCCTTCATGGGCTGCTGTTTGGGCTTGGACATGAGCATGTTTCTCTGTGAGCGCAGCCCCAGGCAGATGTGGGCTTTTAAAACTCTCAGCCCCTTTTGCTCACTGGCAGCTGTAGCAGCATAAGGGCTTTTGAAAATCCCAGGCTGGGTCCCTTCCCTTCCATGGTAAATGTGACTTTGCGTGGTGGCCACTGGCTGTTTGGATAATTAAGGTTTCTTTCCCCAGGCTTTCTTTTAAATAAACAATATTGTTGGTGTCTGATTTGCAGAGCAGTGTGGGCTTAGAAAGGTATGAAATGTCTGATCTCTCAAAACATGCTGGATGAGGAGGAAGATGGGTAAGAGAAAAGACCAAAAGCTACCAGATGGTGATCGCAGGAGATGTAGGTGGCATCAGATCTCTGGGGATTTTTGAGCTCTTAGTCTTCCTGTGCTGCAGTTCCCTACCTGTAATTTTGGGAGGATGGCACAGCTCTGCTAAATCGGTGTGATGTGTCCTGGCACTATAGTCATGGTGACATGTGCACTGAATATGAATCAGTTGCAAGCATCTAAGATATGCACCTTCCCGGGGAAATACCTTTCTTCTGCAAAGCACTGTGCAGGCTGTAGGGCAAGTGGGAGCTGTAGTTGGTGATGCTCCCTCAAATCCTCTTGAAACTCCCAGGAAAGGGCTTCCTCCTAAAGAGACATTTCTGTCCGTGTTTCATCTTGTTTGGTACAGGTCAGAGTGTGGTGGGGGAGCTGAAGGTTCATCTATCATGGTTGTATTTTTCTTCTCCCCTGCACATTGCTTGTCAGGAATTAAGGTTGCATTTAAAACAAATGATGTGAATGGTAGGAAGAGGCTGAGTGATGTTTTCTGGTAAGCCCAAAGGAGGGTTTGCAGAGCTTCCTGATGGGACATCTTCATTGTAACAGCTTCCCTGGGAGTGTGGGAGCTGTGTGGCTTCCCTGAACTTGCTGTCTGGAACCAATAAGCTACCAAAAAGTTCACTTTGAGCAAAAAGGAAGCCCTTCCACCCCCATAAACTGTGTTTGGCTCTGGTCATGCGTGCAGATGTGATGCAGCTCTGTTTGAGGGCCACCAGGAACCACCTCCCAGTCCATGGTATTCCCAACACTCTCCTTCCCCATCCTCCAAACCCTTCCCATGCCTTTTTGTCCTTGGGAAAGAGCTGCCTGGAGCAGTGCCATGGCATCAATCATCCAGGTTTGTTACCGCACGTAAGACTTCATACCCTGACGTAACCTGGAGCAGGGAGGAGAGGTGCAAATGCCCCAGGCGGGGTGTGTACCTGATGTTTGTGGGTCCATCCCCTGTGATGCAGAGGGGTGCAGCCCTTCCTGCAGCCCTCCTGGAGGGCAGCACCACCAATGTCCCAGCCATGTCTTGGGGGGGACATCTGAGCAAGACCCAGCCCTGATTGGGGATCACACAGTGAACCGCAGATATTTTTCAGGTGTTCCTGGAGGGAATGTGTGTATCTCCCAGCAGGTCCCAGCAAGCTCATCAGGCCTCTGAAATTCTGCCAAGAGCACTCTCGTTGCACTCTATATCCTTGGATTTTGTTGGAGGGGGGCGTTGTTTGTTCATTTTTCTCTCCTGGAGACAGCAAACTCAGAGCTAGCTCATCTGTCCTCATCTCTGCTGCTGAACTGCAACGTGTTTACCCATCTCATGCCTTCTTTTGATTTGCATGTGGCATTTTTAAGCTCTTCTTGGGAAGAGACCATCCATAGGTGTGATACGCCTGGTGTGATAGGGCAGGGGTCCGAGTTGGGACCTGGAGGCATTGCTGTCCTGTACTTACTGCTAATAATGGTTTTTTAATTTCCTGTAATGGTGTATGAAGGGATAGAGTCATTCAATGCTGTTTCTTGTGGATATTTTACCTAGTAATAGCCTCTACCGCTATTTAAAAATGAGGGAAATTACTTTCTTGAAATATTTAAACATTTCTTTAATTTTGCTGAGGAAAAGCTGCAGTGATGCTCGGGGTACGTCTGCCTGCGCTGTGGTGTGAAACTGGCTCTGGAAGTGCTTCATAAAACTCTCTACGCTCAGTAAACCGTGTTGGGAAGGGTGGAGCGAGTGCAGCAGCATGTAGACATGGCTTGGGGGCATCAGGGACCCAAATCTCCATCTTTAGACCAAGTATGGATGTCCCATGTGCTACAGTGTGAGCTCAAGATACAGACACATCCCTGTGCTGCATAGCTAAACCCCTGCAAAGATACCAATATATCCCTTTCTCTTTTCTTATGGAGAATAAGATCCTTTCCTCTCTCCTCCCCCATGGGGCGATGAGATGGGAAACTGGAGAAACCTATTTTGACGGGCGTGTTTCCAGGCAGAGAGGCCCCGTTCCCCCGCTGAGGTTACCCTTTTCCAAAGCATCGTGACTAAGCTGGTTTCTCCTCCACGTTTTGCCCTGGGAGACTAACGGTGAGCCGCGGCCAAGTGTGCACTCCTCACTCCTCATAAAAATAACCCAAGGCCGCTGATGCAACGGTGAACTGCTCCGCTGCCGAATACCTGCTTTCGCATGTCTCCCTGCACGTTTCTTTTGGCACTAAATGCTGTGAAGAAGTTAGTGCCAGTGTAAGCATAGAGATGCAAACTCCTAATACTGAATCATGGGCTTCTAGCAAACCATGGTGGTAAAACACGCAATAGCAAACCCAAATAAATCCAGCCCGTGCAGCACTGAGGCTCTTCTTCTGCATGAGATGCTGCTTGTTGGATGTACTTGGTCCTCTCCCTCACCTTTGCACAGCTCGGGGTTTGCACCACACCACACAGTTGTTTTGGTTCTGGAGCAAGGGACAGCTTCTCCAGGCCAGCGGTGCCTTATGAGACTGCTGTGGCAAATGGTGACAGGTGGCAAGTGTTCACGTGAGGGTGGCGACAGCTGTATTAATACAGCAGAGAAAATATCACCATGTTCTGCTGTGCAGCAAGGCACTCCATCAGGGATCCTCAGGGGCTCGCAGACAGTCGCTAAGCTCTGGAGATTGATGGGTGTTGCCTTGGAGAGGAAAGCAGGGACTGTGCAGGTGACAAGTCCAGCAACAGCAGGACTATGCTGCAGCTTCTGGTCTATGACTTAGCCTTGCTCAGGCTTTAGGTGCCACCAGCTGTGCTTTAAGCCCTCTTTCTTTGGGGAGCTCGGGGTGCTGGGTGAAAAGTAATTTCATCCCAGTGTTTGGCTGTGATATCTGAGACACTGATTTTCTTTATGTCCCCAAAAGCCTGCCTGTGTTAGTCACCTGGGTTATTTTCCAGCATCCAGTCTTCCTTTCCCCCAGACCTCTTTGCCTCCCTGCAGTTTCTTTGACAGAGACTTGGCAGCAGCGTACGAGAGCAGGAGAAAGCTCAGGGCCAGGAGTGTTGCAGAAGTTTTGGCTTTTGCTCTGCCTGCTGAAGGTATGCCATTGCATCCTGTGGCACAAATATACGTGAATATGTAGGTTGAGGCAGCTGTGAACTTGCCCACATCTGTATGGAGGTGGGACAGATGGGGCTGAAGAATGGGGCTGACCTACGCCCTGGTTCTTATTAACCTGCTCTATTAAATACGTGTCTGCTCAGGGTTATGGGGTCTTGCTTTCCTCCTCCCTCCTGGAGAGAGCACTTCTCTGGCTTTCTGTATGTTGCTTTTTTCGCTCAGCCTCTATTTATACCACCCTTAGCTTACAGGTGACCTGTTGGTCTCTCCTCTGAGCTAAAATAAAAGTTCCATCATTTTTCCGAGCTCTGGGTAAACATGTCCTGGTCTGTATGGCCAGAAGAAAGTTGGCCTGGACTCTCCAACGTGGCTGTGGCTCAGCGCAGTTCAGTGGATGCTTATTCCAGTGAGTAAATTCAAACCAGCAGCAAGGCAAGAAATGTAACTTGTGCTGGAGGAGCCTGGAGTGCTTTGAATGAGCCCAAGTGTGGAATTTATTTGGGTGAGCTTTCATATGGACATCGGGGTATGTCATGCAAAGGCTAGACCGTGTCTCTCCAGACCCCGCTGAGATCCCAGCCTTCCCCAAGGCGCTTGTGTTTGGGTAATTTTGCTAAAGGAGCCAAGTGAAAACTCTTTTCCAGATCACTTGGAAGTCAGGGTTTGGATTTGGTCCCACCCCTTGTTACAAACCTATAATGCAGTTCAACCGAAACCGGGTGTCTTGAGTACCCCTTCCTCAAGGGGCCAGGACGTGCCTGCAGCATGACCACATGGCGCCTCCAGAAATGCCGATGGATCTGTGTGACAGCAATCGCCCAGCTCTGGCTGTGGCTTGCTGGGTTGCTATCGGGTGGGGAAGCTTTCAGATCGAATAAATGCTGCCATTGCACGTGAACGTTGTGTTGAGTAGTGCCCGTCAATGTTGCACTCCTTATTTATTGCCTTGTGCAGCTTTTGTAAACCTTGGGTGTTTATTGTGCTTCAGAAGAGGCAGTTTTGCTCTTCAGGGAACTCTCAAACAAATGGTGCAGCAACGCTTTTCCAATGGGGTGTTTGCATAGGATCGAAGACATTTGAACAAGTGTTTTCTTCCCCATAGCAATGACCTTGGGGCAGTCTT